CCCCCCCAGCTGCCAGAAGGCGATGAGCAGATTGTGATCGCCGTCTTTTCACAGCCTGGGTGAGTGTTTCTGCAGCATTCTCGGCCCTTTGTAAATGGGGCGACAACCGACCCGGCCTAATGTTCGATAACGGCAATGCCATAAGGGACAAGTATTTGATTTCTTCTAGAAATGATCCTATTTAATATTTAGTAGAGCACATTTCTATTCATGGCTTAATTCAATCATCTTCATGTCTGCATCGAATTGTACACCACAGTCTAAATGATGTTTTCAGGTTTGCGGCTCAGATGGAGCAACGTACGGATCGGTTTGTGAGCTTCTGAAATCATCCTGTCGCGATGAAAAGGATATAAAAGTCGCATCTTATGGTCCATGCGAAGGTTCGATATGTTTTGTTTCGTTTCTTTATAATTTTATCCTTATCACAATGGCAGAAAATTTTCTGCATTTAGCTATTTAATGTATTGAATATTTTGTTGTTTTACCTTTGTTGAGTTCATCATCTTGTACCGTTTCTGTTAGCGGAGCGTCTCTGGTTCGTGATGTCCGCTGTATTCGCAGCTTTTAAACACTTGTGCTGGAAAGCACCGGTTACTGCACGGTAGAAGGCAATATCTTTATCCTAAACAAATTTGCCACTGCCTTCTTCCTCTATGTTGCATGCTGGCCTCTTGGTAGACATCTGCCCCGATTCTGCTCCCACTCGAGAAGTTCACAAGCTGACGTAAATAGTGTATGCACAACCAGTTTGTGTAACAGCGTCAATTTCATGTTTCTAATCTGCACGTTTGCATCTCTTTCCCGAAGAGAAAAGTTATTCCTTATGTCGTCCTGTCATATAACCTTCATTATGCGTCAAAGTCAACGCCACTCTAGGCAGTGCAACAGTCGTTCTTGCTCTTACGTTAGACAGTTGCGTTCACGCCATGCAGCAGCACTGACCTGACGGAGGGAGTGTGCAGACGCATTTTCTTTGGAAGAGCAGTTAGTTTCTTAGCGGAAATTTTGGACAAATTTCCAAAAGCAGTCAATGTTAGGATTATCCTCCTGTTTAACGTTAGCCTGATAGTGCCATCGCTAGAAATGATGAAGTCGAGGTACTTAAACTGCTAAAATTCCTGAAGAACTTCATTTCCATGTTCCACTTGTAGATCACCTGTGCCGGGTGGGTTCCTCATAACTTTTGACTTCCGGTCGCTAAGGTAGAAGACGGCTTTCGCAGATATGTTGCATACGGAGGTCTTTTGGTGATAAAAGAAGATTGCCATACTACTCACAATGATAATATCATCTGCGTGTTCCAAGTCAGTAAGATATCTACCTGGATATTGTGGTCATTACGTAAAACAGCAAAAATGAAGTTTAATAGCGCAAAATATTGCCATACTATGTGATAAATTAGCTCTGACATCTCAGTCTGTGTGCGCATATATTGAACTCAGTTGGGGTAGAATAGAACTTCTTATGACTTGAAAAAATGCCTTATCTTTGGCTCTGACTCATAATGAGGGTTCAGTAGCATGATCTTGTTAGGATGACTTTTTCTAGGAGAATTTTACCACGAACAGCTCTTTTCGGTGGACACAGTGATCAAAAAACTGGGATTGTCACTATTAAACAAATTTATTAAGTAGAAGCCTTTTAATCTGGCGTGCATGCTTTGCGTCACAGACAGACGTTAATCAGGAAATCAAATGGGACAAATTTTGAGCGGCAGAATAAGGTTCATCAGTTTTCAGAAATTAATTGTTCCATCTGCGATGAAACAGTTGGATTTTTACACCTAAAGTGTTGTGAAGCTGTAGAGGCCACGTCGGAATATCACAATTTGAAGAGGCTGTACTGCTCAGCACCAGATGATGAACAAAATAGGCCATGAAAAAGATATTAAGAGATTTCCTTTAAAGAGTATTTGATACTGGCCCATTAGCGCGTTGTTCTCTTGATGCGTGAATACAAACCCAAACGTAAAACAGAGATGGCACTACTTAAACTTGCGTGTGGGTTCCAGCCCGTATCAAGAGAACAATCTGATATTAGGGGATAATATGGAATTTTCAACGCATTAATAACTGTTATCTCCTGATAAATCTCCTGTTCATTAGATACCTTGAATATTTCCAGAATAGATTATTCATGTCACAACATTTGCAGCTACATGAGTTTAATCTGTTGAATCAAAATCACTGCTTTTCAGAAGTCACGAAAATTAAAAGGAAAATAGTCGCCTTTCGGAAGCGATCATGGGCCAAATTGGCAAGGCCCAATATTTATTCCACTTCATACATACGAGCGGTTGTCAAACCTGATGAAATCAACGGCCTTATCTTATACGTTGGTCAGAGTATCAACAAAAAAGGCGACTTTCTTAGCTTGAGTCTCAACGACGGTTATGTGGAATTCAGGTATGTCATGCGGCGTTGGCAACTTTGTTCTTACTTTGTACGCAGGTATAACGTTGGAGACGGTCCTGTTGTGTTGAAGTCAACAGAAGCGCTGAAAGTCGGTGAATGGCGCGAAATCAATGCAGAGAGAATCCACGATCATGGAAAGTTGTTCGTCTCCCAGCAACGCACCGTCTTTTCTATAAAGTCGAAGGGCAGAAGTAAAAACCTTGACGCCAAAACAGCAGTCTATTTAGGAGCCATGCCGACACTGGAGAAGCAGTAAATTAACGATCTCTGTTCTTTACCGAAGTACAGCTATCGATCATTCTAGCATTCACAGATTCGTTGGCGTCAATGTTTCATTTGTTGGCTGCTTGGCCTTCCTGCGCCTTAACGATAGAACTTTTATCAACTCTAGTACTTTCGATGTGATCGAACAACGCTTGACTGGTGAGTTTTTGCTGTTGTGTAGCTTCGCATTGCTAATGTGGTGCCCTAAACGTTTTATTTTTTGTTTCATATATCCCTTCCCTTTTCACCGACATCGTCCTCATTTGTAGGCTCCATATTTCATCTTCATCTTCCATAACCGTTTCTCCTTTCCGGTCATGAGGCAGAGCGTCAGACAGTGCTTCCAACGTTCCCCATCCTGTGTCTGAGTCTCACCTTCGGCGGAAGATAGGACGAATCTAGAGCAGACTCTTTTTCAGTATTTGCCCCAGGTTAATCTTGGCGGTCCCTAGAGCCTTCTGCCGGTACCTGCGAAATAAGTAATTCTATCGCTTTCCTTTCTTGAAGCATTCGCAACACGTGCCCAGACCATCGCAGATGGGACTTCTCAGTCTGAAGAAGCAGCGACTGTACAGCAAGGCTCTCGCAGCTTTGTGCTTTTAATATCGAGACGCGTAAGGCCAGCGACTCTTCTCAAAAAGCCAGTTTCACCCGCTCCTACCCGGAATCGATGTTTTCAGTAATGGTCCACGATTAGTGACTTTGGTTAAGCATGGGGATGAAGTCACAACGGTTAGGGCTAATTCAACAGAATATCATTGGCTTCTCCGATCCGCCGGTCGATCTCTTTCTCAAATGTTTCTTCACTAACAAACACGAATCTATTTGTTCAAACTCTTCTTCCATTTTTTGAACTTTTCCACTCTGTGCGTTTCTACAGAATGCATGTGAGCAAAGACACTTTCCTTCCAAGCCATTTCTTGAATGCAGCCTTCTCTCTTTAACTACCAGCTGTACTTCTCGTGTCCATCAGGTAGTTCTTTCCTGACCTCAGGGCGGCAGACCAACCCGTCTGAATCCGCAGCATTCGGCGGCAGCCTCAA